GCGAAATGCAGGCGAGAGTGCGATTTGCCCCGGTCGCGGGCAACCCTCTGCGGAGATCGTGCGTGTCGGATGCGCGAAATGCAGGCGAGAGTGCGATTTGCCCCGGTCCGGTGCAACCCTCTGCGGCGCGGAAGATGAGAACTGGCGACTTTGTCGTACAACTGTAGTACGCGGAGCAATCTGTGGAGCTGGAAGCTGAGAACTGGCGACTTTGTAGTACAACTTTAGTACGCGGAGTATTTGGTGAGCTGGAAGATGAGAACTGGCGACTTTCTAGTACGATTTTAGTACGCGGAGTATCTGGGGAGCTGGAAGATGAGAACTGGCGACTTTGTAGTACAACTTTAGTACGCGGAGCAATCTGTGGAGCTGGAAGCTGAGAACTGGCGACTTTGTACAACTTTAGTACGCGGAGTATCTGGGGAGCTGGAAGATGAGAACTGGCGACTTTCTAGTATAACTTTAGTACGCGGAGCAATCTGTGGAGCTGGAAGCTGAGAACTGGCGACTTTGTAGTACAACTTGAGTACGCGGAGTATCTGGGGAGCTGGAAGATGAGAACTGGCGACTTTCTAGTACAACTTTAGTACGCGGAGCATCTGTGGAGCTGGAAGCTGAGAACTGGCGACTTTGTAGTACAACTGTAGTACGCGGAGCAATCTGTGGAGCTGGAAGCTGAGAACTGGCGACTTTCTAGTACAACTTTAGTACGCGGAGTATCTGGGGAGCTGGAAGATGAGAACTGGCGACTTTCTAGTACAACTTTAGTGCGCGGAGAATCTGGGGAGCTGGACGATGAGAACTGGCGACTTTGTAGTACAACTTTAGTACGCGGATGAGTCATCTCTCGCGGCTGAGTCATCTCTCGCGACTGCTCTGGCGCCCCTGCAGCTGAGTCATGTCTCCCGACCACCCAGCTCTCTTGAGAGGTTGACAAATTTTAGCTACTTTGCTTACTCATAAGTGGCTGCCACAAAAGAGTCATCGTGACGTTAGTATGTGTGTACCTCACCTTCATGACAAACGATGTTCGCTTGGAATACACGAGTCGCTTGTCATGATCGTGACGTCGTTTACTCTCAGGTCGCCCTGTTCGTGGAAACTTCAGTGTGAAATGTACGTTCTTCAGTTCTACTTGAACCTCTTCAGCGTTGTACGTGCACAACTAAGGTTGACGTTGCCCTGCCGTTGCATCGACGCGTCTACGTCTACACTACACCCCCTCACCTCTCTACATTTACATCTTCACACGCTCACATCCGCAGATCTACCTCTCCACCTCACCACACCCACACATCTGTACATCCACACTGTCGCTCCTTCACATCTGTCCTGTCTTTCTTTCTTTCTACATATCTTTTCTCTCGTCTCTGTGCATTTGCGCTCACATCCACAGATCTACCTCTCCACCTCCATACATCTACAGATCTATATCGCACCTGCACATCACACTGTCACTCCTTCACAACCACCCACTCTTTCTCTCTTTCTATACATCTTTCGACAGCGCTGGACAATTATATGTCTCGCTCTCGGGCCAACCGTCGTCTAGTTGGTTTCATTTGCGGCAAACCGGTTTAATTGTTCCGACCTAGCACGTGTAGCCGCAGCATAACTGAGGCAATGTGGCGAGAAGTGCGAAATCCATACCTTAGGGCTGGGCTCTGGGGTCTCTACTGCACTTCTCGAAAGCTTGGCCCGCAAGGGCAAGGGCAGCGCACATTTCTTGGCAGACGGAGCGGCGCTGAGTCAATTTGGAAAGCGCACACACACGTCATTCATGATTGTATGATGAAAGCACTGAACGGTTTCCAGATTGAGTAGTTTAGAATCTAGACATCTCCTAGCGCATCAGTTCCGAGTGTCTTTGCGTGTACCCCATGGGATCACTGGGGGCCTTTTTGGCGTTCTCTTTAGTGCGCTCTTCTTGGCAGGGAGGCCACCGGTGTCCATCGCTGTAAAAGTACCTCCTCAACTGGTTACCTGTTGTTCTTGCTGCTGTTTGCTTTCATGGAGGTTCATGTGGGGCAAACGGCGGTGAAACTGACATGATGCATTGCGAACCACCTTCTCCCTCCCTTTTCTTCTTCTTCTTCTTCTTCTTCTTCTTCTTCGTCTTCGTCTTCGTTTTCGTTTTCGTTTCTTTCGTTTTCTTAACAGGGTTCTCTCTTCTCCCTGCCGGAGACAAAGCTGCTCGCCTCTATAAATTTGCAAAATGCAAAAGAAAGAAAGAAAACAAACCCACGCAACTCTGGAGGAATCTTGTTTCATAGCATCAAAGCTTGACTCACCCTAGTAGGCTACCCCACGGCTCAGTGGGCAGCCCAACAACTAAGTCCGTTCATCGCCGAGCAAACCACGTCACTTCTCGTAAGCCCACTGCAATTTGGCCAGCTTCCAGCCGCTGACTCACTACTAACCCGTTGAGCCATCCATCTTGAAAGCTGTCAGCTGGGTATCTAATAACTCATCAAGTCTCAAGCTTGCCGTTATTTATGTATGTGTATATATACACACACCTTTGCGATGCGCATATTGCTATGTGCGCGCGTTGCTGAGGCAGCAGCGTGACACCGTGACACTTACCTCGAGAGTCTACTACATGATGGAACGTTCCCATTGTTGCCCACACTGACGCTACACACACTTGGGACAAAGTACATAGGAACTGAATGCCGCTTGCCACACGCCGACTTGGGTTAGAAACCTGGTCTTAAAGAGTCCAGGGGTATGAAACAACATCGCCCTGATGGCAAAAAAGTAAAGAAACTGAAACGAAAACGAAGAAGAAGGAAGGAAGAAGGTGGTTCACAAAACATCAAGTCAGTTTCACTGCCGTTTGCCCCGCATGAACCACCATGACAACAGGCAACCAGTTGAGGAGGTACGTTTGCACGGGTCGCGATGGAGGTCTTCGTTGGCCACCTCTTGTCTGGACCCCAGTGGGCCCCCCTGCGAACGCACCAGACAGAAAGCCAAAGAACATGAGGGGCCACTATATATCAAGTTGCGACAACCAGCAAGTGAAAGGAGAAAACCAATGAGCCAAACCTCATTGCAAACGACCTGGGGCGCCTAAAACCTAGTTGGTAAGTGAACGTGCGCGTACACACTACGGGCGGGACGAATGCGCACGCACGAAAGAAATAGAAGACAGTGAGGTGACAAGACACGAAGACAGAAAGGTATGAAAAAGAAAGCAGGAAGGGAAGGGCTTTTGTGAATGCGATGACACGTGAACCAAGTGACAAAGGCCAACCGCAAAAGAAATTGACATTTGACATCACCTGGGGCACCTCACCTTGTTAGGTTTGTAGCTGCGCCGCGCTTAAATGCGAGACGGGGGCCCAATGACCCCAGCAGACGTATGGCCACTGCGGCCACTTTTCAGCCATGTCCATTCCGCTCGCCCTACGACCTTCTCCATGATTCCCAAGCTGTCAAGTCTTAACCAACGTTTGCCCTAAAGGCGCACGGACACGCAGGCGCTATAGAACGCATTCCATATTCCAGAAGATACTTGTTGGTTTAGCTATGTGCGTTATCGTCTTTTGCAATTAGCATTCCAGAGCTCAGCAAGACCATTTATTCTGTAGCTTGTAACCTGCGGAGTCAGAAGGAAATAGGCTCACGCTGCAGCAGTTCATCACAAAAGGAAAGGCCGACGTCCACGCAAGAGGTGCCTTAAGGTTTCTCGCAAACAGACGTATTTTGCAACATGTACATACCATTCAATTTTGCTGCAAGGTTTGAAAAATATAGAATCTGCTGGCATTTTATATATCAACAGATTGCGTCCGCAATTGGGCCAGCGTACCGCCTGTGCGTTCCTGTCAGGTGAGGAAGAAGCTTTGCAGGAGTTTGCGGAAGTTGTCGCTGCAGCAGCTTCCAAGACATTGATGTCATTGACCAGGGGGGGTTTTGCCATGACCGCTCACAACTCTACATCCTTTGTTCACTCAAGTGCGAAAGTTTGCCACTCAGCAAGCGTTTGATAACCCCAAACTCAACAAAATGAGACAGGATGAGGGCCACACAACCTGCACAAAATGAGGCGTTGTGACACACCTCGCTCGATTCTTTGTCAGGAGACGGTGGTGAAGATGCTCGCCTCAGCCTTGCAGCCACCGGTGACAGACCTGAAAGCTCCTCAAGGTCAAGACTTGGATATGTATATATATATTTTTTATTTGTTTGTTTATTTATGTATTTATTTATATTCATGTATGTATTTAAAGGCTTACGCCTGACAGCCGGCCGACGCAGGAGAGGGAGGAAGGACATGGGGGAGTGGGGGGACAGATATCGGACACACACACACACTGATTTGAAAGCGGTTGCCACGCGCCAACCTGGGTACCCAAATCCTGACCAGATCAAGTGAAACCAAAGAATCCTGGAGGTCCTCAAACGGAAGTGAGGCCAAAAGCTCAAGCCAATCCCGATGCGACAAATGACGACGTAGCGATGAAAGGGAACCTAGTGCACAGGGACAACCGATGAACCCCACCTCATTGTCAAACCTGGGCGACCTGAAACTTGGTTTAAAAGGACAAGTAGATGTGCACGTACACACCAAGGCCACATCTCTACCCCCGGCTTACGGCCGATCTCCATAGCCTCGCCCTGTTCGGCTCCCAGCAATCTGCTGCGCCACAGCTTTCCACAATCTAATTCCATCCAAGAACAACCAACAATTCGTCCTCGGAGCTGCTCTCTCGGTGCCAAACGTTGCTTTCTGACAGCAAAAAAATCATCTTCCAGAAGCCGTCCTCTCGTCTCTCTGACTGGGCCGTGGCTCTAGCTATACGGCCAGTCAGCCGTGTCTCTGGCCCCAACCCCAGCTTCTCCATAGCGCCGCCCTGTTCGGAGCTCCCGGCAATGTCCTTCGCCACGCCTTTCTACCATCTAATTCCACACCAAAAACACTCTCTCGCTGCCAAACATCGCTCTCTTCCAATTTCTTCCATACTTCGGTCTCTAGCCTCCCACGCACCCTCCAGCGAGCTTACGGCCACGCAGACGTATCTAGCCCGATTCCGGGCGTATAGCCCAGAGATCTCCACTCTAACTGGCTTATGGCCACAGCTTGACCCAATATAAACGTCGTACACGGTGATTCTCTGGCGCGCTCTCCCATCATTTGGGGCCGGCGGACAGCTCCATTTTCTCGTTAATTAACATCGGTGCCCAAAAGCCTCAACCGCTTTCATGCACTGAGCCTTGCGCCATCTTTAGAAGCTGAGTCGGCTGCTGTGAGGTTCATTGGCCATCGTCACCAACCTTGCTGCGGCATCGAATGGAGATCCAAGAAAAGAGCGCGCGGCAAACGCCCATCAAGCCTGAAGGTCGGGATGCCAATCGAGAGCCGAGAGCATAGGGCGACCGTGCGAGAGGACTCCAATTACGCCAGCCTATATACACTACCCCAGCCCGCAAAACGCAACGCTATGAAACCCTTATCCAGAGCCAGCGCCTGCACCAGCGCCGGCAAAACAGAACGCCGATCCAGAACCAGCACCAGCACGGCAGCAGCGCCCCCAAAACGAAACGCCGATCCAGAGCCAGCACCAGCGCCTGCGCCAGCACCAGCACCGCAGCAGGCCCGCAACACGAAACGCCGATCCAGAGCCACAACATTGAGAAGTAAGAACCCCTTGTAGCTCGCTGCTATTTGGGCCAAGACGCCGATCAAGAGCCAGCGCCTGCACCTGCACCAGCATCTGTTCGGCAGCAGCGCACGCAAAACCAAAACGTTGCTCCACAGCCAGCAGCTGCACCTGCACCACGCAGCATCAGCACGGCAGCAGCGCCTGCAAAACCAAAACGCCGATCCACAGCCAGCATCAGCACGGCAACAGCGCCCGCAAAACCAAAACGTTGCTCCACAGCCAAGAGCTGCTATCTGGGAGAAAAGATATTTGCGACGCGGCTCTAAAGCTGGACATCTGGCAGCAACCCCCGCAGCGGCACCTTGCATCGGCCCCAGCGCCCAAACTCCAAAGTGCACAGGCGCAAAAATTTGGCCGGCACCTTGCAGCGGCATCATGCAGCAGCGCCAGCGCTGGCAGCGACACCCTGCAGCGGCACCAGCGCTTAAGCTCCAAAGCGCACACGGCCACTGACATTGGAGCGGTGCCGTGCAGCGGCACCAGCACGCACATCTGGCAGAGCTATACAAAGTCACCCGGGGACACCTCACAGCGTCATCCACTACGACCTCCATTCTAGCACGATCGTTTTGGCAGAACGAACCACTTATCGACTTCCAGCCACCATGGAATTGATCCCAGCAAGGGTTGGTAGCGCTGCTCACAGGTTGTGTTGTTGTTGAAAATTGAATCTCGGGAACTCTTGAGCCTAATGTTGCCTGGAGGAATCTTCCAAGAAGGCCCAGTGCAAAGTCCTTCTGAGATCTTGGATCTTGGCAGTGTGGAAACAGAGAAGAAGCGGAGTGACAAGCAGCACCAAGAATACATCAAGCGATTCCGTGCACAAGGTGGGTTCCGGCCACTTGGCTTGATTGTGGCCGTTTTTCTCCTCCCCCTCCCCCTCGCTCCTGCTGCTGCTGCTGCTGTTTCCTCCTCCTCCTCCTCCTCCTCCTCGCTCTTTCTTGCGTTTTCTTCTTCCACGTGCGTTCTTTTCTGTTTGTGTTTTTTTTGGCCGTTTTTTCTTTTTGCCCCAAAGCACCTGCGATGAGTTTTCCGTCACTGTAACAGTCTTCAAAGAGTATGTTACATAATTCTATATATATACAGGAAAGCCACATCATGGAATCAAGAGTTCAGCTTAGCAAAGCAGAGCGGCATGTGTCAAGGTGGCACTTTAGTGATTGGAACTGAATGGAACATGTACTGCAATCCTTCTCAATCGGCCTGGCCAATGTCTTCTGAAGAGGTGCCGGGTCAAGGGCAGTTCGAAGAAGGGGTCAAGGGCAGTTCGAAGAAGGGCTCGTTTACTGTGCACATCTGTAGGAGGCCCTTGACCAAAGAACTGACGACTAGTCTGCCACGGGTTACCAGATTTTACGCACATTTCGCCACCGCCCAAACAATCAAAGCACACTTCTACTCTTTTTCCACTTCCTGTCGAGCTCACTTCAGTCGCTTCAGAATGCAGAATCTATCCGCGGAGGCCAGCACACCGGACCTCTTCCCGCTTGGCTTTCT